CAAATCCAATAATAACATTCCATTCATAAATCACAAAATCGAACCTCAACTACTATTGGATTTTGCTACCCTATGACAACAATGCACCAAGCAGCACAATTCAATGATAGTTGAAGGTCGATCGTGTCACTTGAAAACAGAGTTAGCAAAAACAATACTCACATGAGCCTTGTTAACATAAAACAATCCATAAATGTTTCATGTAGCTTAGTCCCAAAATAAATACTTACATATCGGCTGGAACAAACAGATAACATGGTCGAAAAACAATGCTTAATCTTTAGACAAAATACAAACCATGAACATTTAATGTTACTCAGCGTCAACAATATAAGGAAAAACTAATTTCCCTTCATATGAACATGCCGACAACAAATACTCACTATAAGTTGAAAATAAAATCAGAAAACTGTAAACCCTGCGTTAGCGTTCGAATGCTATAAGGTATGTAATTCTACCCTTAAAAGGATTTTTCATCAATAAAGGGGTAAAATGGTCATTTTGCATGCATTATGAGACATCAATGTTGCAAACTGTTAGGAGTTGATGATACTGATAAGAAATATGGTTAAAGGGTGATGAAGGAGGTTAGTAGGGTTAAACGGCATAAACGGTTCTCAATGGGTGTAATGGTCTTTTCACAATAATTTATACGAATCAAGTATCCATAAAAGTGTATTATGGGTAAATTAGTTAATTATCTTATGGAATTACCTGGTCACCAAGTAGAAAAGAGAAGTCAAATGGCATTAAAGGAGTGTAATAATTATGTTGTAGTAGAAATGATCAAAATGCCCTTATATGCAAAATTTATACCACATAACCCTTATATCTAACTTTTGATGGCCAATCCCATTTGGGAATTAAAAAAATGAAATGTTTATAAGATTTTTTTTTTTTTTGGTTAAGTCGGCCAACACTCTTAGAACACCAAACTTTCTTCTTCAAGTCTTATTTTTCCTTCATTAAAGGCTTTAATTCAAGCTTTCTCTCAAAATTTTCATAGGATTTCTAGTTGATTTTTTAAGGAGATCACCATCCACACTTAAAGAACTTCAATTTCAGGGTTTAAGGTGAGTTTTAAAACCCTAGTTTGTTGTGATTTTTAGTTAAAAGAGAAATTCATAAGTGGTTATGTGTGTAAGGTAGAAAGGGTGAACATTTGGAGCTAAGGAGGAGTGTCTTTGTGCTTTGAATACTAAGGTAAGGAAAAAAATCTCCCTTATGACTACAATTGATAACACCTAGGGTTGATGAAACTTACATTTATTTATGTTAATTTGAGTGTGATGCTATGTTTTGGCTATGGATTGTTTAAATGGGTGTGTTGATTGGTGTATGTGTGCATATGGAGAATGATTACGCCAATTAAGAGATTTGTAGTTGGACGATGTCTTGGCACATTTTTAAAAAGGAAAGTTTTTATGGCCTTTTATACTTAGAGTGATATGGCAAATATTATGAATGTGCAAATGAATGTGACATGGTTAAAAATGAATTGAATTCAGATTTGACTTTTTAAGACTTATAATGTATATGCTTTGCTGAATCAGTCATAAGTGAAGTTATAAAGGTCTGATTGAGTTGATTCTTAAAGTATTAAAAAGTTGAGAAATAGACCTAAAACTTTTATGTTTTAGCCAAAAATCAAGTCGAATTGGAAGATAAGGAAAAAATTGCTTGAAAAGTGACGAACTGTATGGCATCCACCTCCTTAATAAAAATTCCCATCTTTTTTATAATTTCTAATAAACCACTGAATAATCTTACTGTTGAAATTCATTGTATTTTATGAGAAATCGAATGAATTAAGTTAATGAATTTAATAGGAAAATATTCATGCCATGGAGTTTTGCAAAATTGATTGATGAATTGTACAATTGGCCAATGGTACATGTTAAATGAATGAATAGTATGATTGAGCATGGGAGATGTTATCCCATATGTTTGCATTCATAATGGTAATGCATATAGCTTCTTTAGTTGAGTTATGAAAAAAAAATTATGAAATGTTAAAGAATGAATTCCATGAGTCTCTTGAGGTGTAAACCAAGATCAAAGGAATGGAATTCTTATGGAAACCATAAGTCCTTTGAGGTGACGACCAAGAACAAGGTAATGGTTCAAATGAATCCGATCGGATAAGAAAGACTAATGAAAATGTCAAGTACATAGACAAAAGAAATAGGCATGCCATGTTTATGAATATTGCATCAGTCATATATATTCTATGTTATATTATGTATGGTTATGTCATGACTTATGTTCATGAGGAAAGACATGTTTTATGAACTTGATAATGTCAATGAATGAAGGTCATGTCTTATAGGAAGGTAAGGTCCTGAGTAATATGCTTGTATAACGAACTTAATAGTTTATAAATGGTCATATTCTCTTACTGAGCAATTAGGGCTCACACTACCCCCCGCCCGAAATTTTTAAAATGTTTTGCAAGTAAGGATTAAAGCTTGAAGCTGAGAGAGGCTACTAGGGAATGACATGCGCATGAAGGAATGCTTTTGCTATGTTTTGAGTTTTGATGTAAAATAATATCAAATGGTTTTTGGTTTATGGATATTGAAGTAAACATGTTTTAATAAACCTAGTATGACCATTTCCTTGTCAAATGAATGAAAAAGGTTAAATGATTTTAGTAAATGATATTATATACTTATGTTATTAACTCCGTAGGAAGCTAAATTTCTTGAATCATTTTATGGATATGGGATGTTTAATAATATGCTTAAAAAAAAAAAAAAAAGAAACAAAATAAACAAAAGTATAGGTTTTGAAACAAACTCATTTCCTAGACTTGTCTTTTCTAGGTTTTCAATGGCCAAGGGATACTTAGGAAATACCTAGTTAGGGAGGGGTTTTACACAAACATCAGTGAACATATAATTCACGCTAATCGATTCCAACCACAGACATACCAAATCAATGACCTTACTGAAGACTTAATAAACACAACTTGGTACGGAACACACTGGCCATTGTATGAACACGTCAACTTTTTTCCCTGTAACCTGAAAACAAAATCAACAAATTCACATTTTATGCCGATTGATCGGCAAAAGAGACGCACCGAATCAATGACTCTACCAAATAAATAATAAACACAAATCCTCATTTCCTTGAAAACAAACATAACAAAATGTAATCAATCTTTATGTTAACATTGTTAAGGAACAATTATCCATACGTATAAAAACTAGTACCCAAAAACGAAACAAAAGTTAATTAATCTTCATATTAAAATTATCAAGGAATACACTTACCGTTCGGAAGGAATAACACAATTACTCATTCAAATAAATTGGCCGAACAAAAACAATCATTCAATCTAACAATAACTGTTAAAATAGTTGAGAGACATACTTACAGTTTCACATTAAAATATCTAGAAGATATATTTACAGTTCAGAAAAACAAATCAAAATAACAACTCATCTGACAATATCAATCAGATATCCTGCTTTTATTTCATGCCAATTCATGAATCTTTGACCTGTAAACAACAACAAAAACATACATAAATAAATAACCATTGATCAAAATGCACATGAAGAACAAAAATATTATTTTCACAAACTAAAATAACCTATAAACAATTAACAATAGACTAAACGTATTGTTAACACCAACTAACAAATTGCGATGATACACAATTGAACATGCATCCCTTTTATAACCCATTATTTAGACCTTTCGAATACCAACGCAATCAAATACAAATTCAATACGAAGAAAGTTTTCCAATGCCAATACAATGCACCTATATAATTATAGATAGCAATCATAGACAAATGTCGTTAAATCACAATTAATAATAACAATCCAATACACCTGTATACTTGTTATTAATGCACATCTTTGGAATGCCAATGCAATGCACTCGTACTATTATTATCATTATTAATTATTAATACAGATCTCCTTTTTTTAATTAATTAATAGTAATAAATGGAGCAATAAATATCTATCCAACGAATCAAGGTAGAGTAATTTGATTAGCTTGTAATCCAATGTGTCAAAATAAAACAATTCTAAAGCTTCCAAAATATGTTACATGGCGAACAACCAACATGAGTATTCAACTTTATATATATATATAAACCCCATTCATTTGCAAAATAACCTTAGATACATATTTTTTACTCTCTCTCTCTCTCTCTCTCTCTCTATATATATATATATATATATATACTTTTTTTTTTTTTTAATTTTCATTTGACATATTAATCAAATGTAAAAATATTTTGCATATTGACTTCATATGTGTTTTCTTAAAAAAATAAAAACAACAAACTTCTAAATTATTATATAGATCAATTGAAAGTTAGAAACAATAAAATAAGATAAAATTAACTTAAAAAATTAACCGTATAGATTAAATTCATTTAATCTTTTATTATTTTAAAATAAAATTAGAGTTTATGATGTAAAAAGAAATAAATAAAAAATTTATATTAATAACAAAAAAATTTCATCTAGAATTATATATAAAATATTTTTGAGTAATTTTTATAAAGGATAAATTGTATTTAAGAAGAAAAATAATAATTGAAAAGGTGGGACCCAATATCAAATTTTTAAAAAAACACAAATCCCACCAAACTCCGTTAAAACGACCGTTTGCATGCTTTACAACAGATCTTACAAAAATCTTGGCCGCAGACGATCACATCTCTATGAAACTTACACAAAACCACAGATCTCTACCCATAAACGACGCAAACAAAGTAGGCCCCACACCCACACGAGGTGCCTATTCCAATTACCGAGATCTGACTTCCATGACGGCAGAAGAGAATCTCGTAACGGAGAAATTTTTGGCGGTAAAATAACCTAACCTAATGGACGTGTCGCAGTCCAATTGGCTCTTCATGTATGTATGACCATCATTTCATGTCATGGCCATGCGCATCGCATATTGTTTTTCCCGCGCTTAGACGCACTGATAGGGTTTCCCCAAAAAGAGGTCCAAACTAATAGTTAGAGAGAGAAAAACAAAAGAGAGGGAAAATAAAATTTCTAGGGCTTGTTTACAAAAACCCCAAACGGATCCGACGAAACGCCGCCGTGTTCGCTTAATTGTAGTCAGGGTTTTCATTTGTTCATCTCCGGATCGAAGGAATTTCAAAGATCTGTAATTTGAGGGTTAGTTTTTTTTCTTAAATTTAATTTATGTTCTGCCAGGAAGAAATTTGTTAACATTTTTTGCTGAAATGTGTTTTTGCTATCTTCAAGATGAAAATTTGAAAGTTTTAGCTATTTGTAAGTAAGTTTAATTGTGTTCTTGAAGTTTATTAGCTTAAAGTATTTTCGATGTGGAATAAAGTTTTAGCTTAAAGATTGTTAATTTTGTAGTTATTTCGAAGTGTAGAAGCTTCTGAACTGTGGTCTGTTGATTTGAAATGTGTTTAATTCGGAAATGAATCTTAATTTTCTGTTTGAAATGAACAGGTTGAGCTCAGATCAGTTAGGGTTTTAGATGAGTCAAGGTTCTCCGAAGAATATGGAAGAGGAAAAGCCCTCAGCTCCGGCATTAAGCAATTCTGAAACTATCACAGGGGATTATGATGCTACAGAAGCTCGATTAACCGATCTCTGCAAGGTCTCTTATTTATTATTTGAAACGTCTTATCTGTGATTTTTGTAGTTTCCATTTTCTTCTCCTACTTAAATTAGCATATTTACTGTTTGCTTTCTGCGGTTTTGTATATATTAAAATCTTTATTTTCTTTGTTACTATGGTTTCTTGAACTAAAAGTGGGATATGACTGCAGAATGGACTATTGTTGGACGAGATCACTTATATGCAAACTTTGAAGCTATTCAAAGACACAAAACACCTTTTGTCAGCAAACATATCTGGCATTGGAAGTGGAATGGTATTTTTTTCTTTTCGTTTATGGATATTCTATGTGCTTATTTATGGTAATTTTCTAATGTCGATAGTAAGGTAAAAGTGAAATTTTTTTTTTTTTTCTGAAGCCTAACCTAATTGCATATCTCTATTTAATAGCCGGAAGAAGCGGAGCGGTTTTGGTTTGCATTTGTGTTATATTCAGTTAAAAGGTTAAGTGAGAAGAATGGAGACAGTCCACCACAGGGATTCAGTGATAATGAGTTTAATTTATGCCAGATATTGAGAGTTGCAAAGTTGAAGTATGTTGCTCTTAATCCATCTTTTATCTGTTTTATGTTGAAGTTGCTGCTCTAATTTTTTCTTTTTGGGGGTTTACAGCATTGTGGATTTTTTTAAAGAGTTGCCTCAGTTTGTTGTCAAGGCTGGTCCAATATTAAGTAATATGTATGGGGCGGATTGGGAGAATAGACTTGAGGTATTGTCCCAACATTGACTTGTACTATATATCTTTAGAAGGGTTTATGTTTTACAATATCCATTGTTGTTTAATATTTTGTTTGAGTGTTTACTCATAGTTGTAGTCCATTTTTCTCTTACCAGGCAAAAGAGTTGCAAGCCAATTTTGTGCACCTCAGTCTTTTAAGCAAGTGGGTATCTTTTCCTTAACATTTTAATCGGTATTTTTTTAACATAGCAATACTTATACAGTGCAGCTTGTAGTTTAGACATTATATCTTGTATTCAATGTTACTAGGTACTACAAACGTACGTACCGGGAATTTTTCTTGCCAAGTGACGCCAACAGTGATAAGCTTTCAGCTGTTGCCAGTGCCAGTGGCTATGTTTCAGACTACCACTGTTTCGGATGGTTACTGTTTCTGGCACTCCGTGTACATGCATTCAGCCGGTTCAAAGATCTAGTGACCTGCACAAATGGATTGGTTTCCATACTGGTCAGTTACATTCCTCTATCACTATGACTGCATTTTGTTAGCTAAGGATAGTAGGATTTTGGAAACTACATTTTGTTAGCAAAGGATAGTAAGATATAGACCATGGCATTTTTACTGTCCCTCTCACTCCATTTTGCTTTACTAGATTCCTTTTATTAATAGGAAACACTAGTATATTAAAAAAGAGAATAAAGGTACAAAGGTGGCCAGATGTCCACTGCAAGAGATTTAAAATTATTTTGCTTTAGAAGATACAAGAAAAATTTTAGAAAAAGAGAAAAATGCATATGCTAAATATATGAAGCCCAAAACTTTTAGAAATTCTTTCACTGTATGATGTACATTCAACAATTTCATCATGTTCTACCCATTACATTTTTGCTATCAAGTCTTAGTAAATGATGGTCCATTAATAACATCTTCTAACTATATAATGAAATCTGTGACAGGCTGTTTTGATCCTACATGTTCCTGTTCGCTTCCGAAATTTTGATGTCCATGACTCCTCGCGGTTTGGTAATTTTCTTGCTCTTTTGCCAGTTGTTATGATTTATCTTATTTTTTAAAAAAGTATTGCGGGGGTAGAAGTAAGAGCTTTGGCTTTTGTTATTGATGCTTATTTATCTCATATTTGCTACAGTTAAGAAAGGTGACAAAGGCGTTGACTTGGTTGCATCACTTTGCAACATCTATGACACCTCAGAAGATGATCTGAAAAAAACAATGGAAAAGACCAATAGTTTAATATCAGATATATTGAAGAAAGAGCCTTGTTTGGCATCTGAATGTAAAAGTGAAAACTTGGAGAATATTGACCCTGGTTGGTTCTATAAGTTCCATATCTATTTTGGTCCTACTAATTTGCGTTCACATACTGATGATTTTGAAAATTTGAAACTCATGCAGATGGTTTGATATATTTTGAGAATCTCATGGACGAATCATCTCTATCAACCAGTTTGAAAATTTTAGAGCAAGATTATAATGATGCTACTCGTAATAAAGGTGAGCTGGATGAGAGAGTGTTTATTAATGAGGAGGACAGTATACTTGGTTCGGGAAGCTTGTCTGGAGGTGCCATAAATATAACTGGTACCAAGGTATGTTTCAATTGAATGACTTTAAAACATATAACCTTCTTTTTATATTTCCTCTTAATTGTTCACTATTCTCTGTAGGAAGTATTTGATCTTGTAATGTCCTTGGTTCTGTTTTGTGTAGAGAAAATTTGATTCAATGGCTTCTCCAGTGAAGACAGTTACAAGTCCACTTTCTCCTCATCGATCTTCAGCATCTCATGCAAATGGTATTCCTGGTGGTTCAAAGATGGCAGCTACACCTGTAAGCACAGCGATGACTACTGCCAAGTGGCTTAGAACTGTTATTTGTCCACTTCCATCAAGACCATCGGCAGAGTTGGAGCGCTTCTTGAGATCATGCGATAGGGATGTAACTAGTGATGTGACACGCAGGGCACAGATAATTTTGGAAGCTATATTTCCAAGCAGTAGTTTAGGAGAGCGCTGTGGAACTGGAAGCCTGCAGAGTGCTAATTTGATGGACAATATATGGGCAGAACAACGAAGACTGGAAGCCCTCAAGTTATATTATAGGGTTTTAGAAGCAATGTGTACAGCTGAAGCCCAAGTGTTGCATGCCACAAATTTGACCTCTCTATTGACTAATGAGAGGTTCCATAGATGTATGCTTGCCTGTTCTGCTGAACTGGTTCTGGCCACACATAAGACTGTCACAATGTTGTTTCCTGCAGTTTTAGAGAGAACTGGCATCACAGCATTTGACCTTAGCAAGGTGATCGAAAGTTTTATTAGACATGAGGAATCTCTCCCAAGAGAATTGAGGCGGCATTTGAATTCTTTGGAGGAGCGACTTTTGGAGAGTATGGTGTGGGAAAAGGGCTCATCAATGTATAATTCTTTGACAGTTGCTAGACCAGCTCTGTCTGCAGAGATAAGTCGTCTTGGATTGCTGGCTGATCCAATGCCGTCTCTTGATGCAATTGCCATGCACATTAATTTCTCTTCTGTAGGATTGCCTCCTGTGCCTTCTTTGCAGAAACATGAGTTGTCACCAGGTATTTTTTCTGTTTTTCATATTTGTTTTTCTCCCAAAACTGAAGTTTGCTATATTTCTTGGATTTACATAACTATTATATGCAACAGATCACTCAATAGATGTAGAAAAGCTTATGGCTAGTACTTGTGGATCTAATTGTTTGATGCCTGCTTTTCATTTCCTCTATCTCGTACATTTATATAATTAAATGTTATAGTTATTATTGTTACCAATTTAACTAACATAAATTTCTTGTTATCTATTTTTTTCAGGTCAGAATGGTGATATCAGGTCCCCAAAGAGACCGTGTACAGACTATCGGAGTGTGTTAGTGGAACGGAATACCTTTACATCACCAGTGAAGGATCGGTTGCTGGCGCTCAATAACCTTAAATCAAAGTTTCTGCCTCCTCCTTTACAATCTGCCTTTGCCAGGTAAAAGTTGATGTAGTTTCCAGGGTTAGGAAGTTGCAAATCTTATTTACTTGTACGATATTACTGCTTCTGTCTATAATTAAGAGTTTTGCATTTGGCTATGTGTATGCAGCCCAACTCGGCCAAACCCAGGAGGTGGAGGAGAAACTTGTGCGGAAACTGGGATTAATATATTCTTCACCAAGGTATAATTTTCAATTTCTTAGCGGATGTTCAGGAATCTGACTGAATTGTCCACGAGAGATTTTTTTGCTAAATTCATTTATCCATATTTTATATGGTTTATTTTGTTGCCATTTATTTAGATGGTGACAGGTGGGTGAGAGTGGGGTTTGGTTGCCCTGGAAGGGCTTTGAGACAATTTTAAGTCTTAATATAGATTTACCTTACATGTGACATTTTTAGATACTCTGAGCCATTTCTTTAATAATCAAAGACGTTAGGGCCTGTTGAAAATAATTTCCCTGCACTACCTGTCCTTTTCAAATTGTGAGCTAAAATCATGTCAAACTTACAGCAGAGCTTGAACTAGCAGAAGAAAGATATATAGTACGTCCTTTTTTCCCTCTTTTTGCTTAATGTAAATAAGGTAGTTTGGTCTCAAATCCTTCTTGAAGAAGTCATAAAAAAAAAAAAAAAAAATTATAATGCAGTTCCCTAATCTGGTTCATGGATACAGTTTGCAGCATGGTTTCACATTATAATTTGCTTAGGATACAATTATGTTTTTTTATTCTTGTGAAAGAGTGTGTTCCCTTGTTCAATTTAGTTCTTTCTAGCACTTACATCTTGCATACTTTGTGTATTGTGTAGATTAATAAACTGGCTGCAGTTAGAATCAATGGTATGGTGGAGAGGTTACAAGTGTCACAGCAGATAAGGGAGAGTGTATACTGTCTTTTCCAGCAAATTCTTAGTCAACGGACATCTCTCTTCTTTAATCGCCATATTGACCAGATTATCCTCTGCTGTTTCTATGGAGTTGCAAAGGTTAGTGATTCATGGAAATTTGTGGTATGTTTTTAATGTCTATTTTCAAAATTGTTTTAACTTAATTTGTATCCTGCTCATTCACTTGTGTGCAGATTTCTCAACTGCCCCTGACCTTCAAGGAAATCATTTACAACTATAGGAAACAACCACAATGTAAACCACAAGTTTTTCGCAGTGTGTTTATTGACTGTTCATCTGCACGCCAGAATGGGGTATATTGGTAAAGCTTTTCTCCCTTGGTAGTCATTTTTATACGGAATCTAACCTTTGGAGTGGTCTGGAAACAGAGAACCGAGCCGGATCATGTTGATATTATAACATTTTACAACAAAATATTTGTTCCTGCCGTAAAGCCTCTGCTGGTGGAACTTGGACCTGCCGGAACAAACATGAGAACTAACCGTGTTTCTGAAGTGAACCATAATAGTGATGGTATATATTTTTTGAAGTCATTTCAGATCTTAAGGATTTAATTTCTCCATGTGGCAAGTCATTGTAGAATAAACTTAAAATTTTCTTTCTTATCCAATTAGGTCAATGCCCTGGATCACCTAAAGTATCTCCTTTTCCAACCCTTCCTGATATGTCCCCTAAGAAAGTATCTGCAGTACACAATGTATATGTTTCTCCATTACGGACGTCCAAGGTATTTTATTTTGTTCTTTTCAATAGTTATCTTAGTTGGAGTGATTCTGGTGCTCGGTTCTTGTCTTATAGCAACCATGATTTATTTCTTCTCTTGAATAAAAATGGCAATATGTGAGAAAATAAATATTACTACCTGTTAATTGTTTCACAAGTTGTCTGAAATTATAGTATCCTATGCCTGGCTTAATTTTTATTTTAATCAAGAAACATTTATTGTCTATTTGTCTTCTTCATGTTTGTTTGTTTCCACAAATATGATTTTGTAAATTTTTTTGCAATGCATAGCTTCTGTTCAGTTTTGCATAACTGTGCAAAATGCTTTTACTCTACATATAATGATGGGAAAATGTAAATTCATTCGCATATGTATTAATATTTTCTGTTTCATGTATACAGATGGATGCTTTGATCTCACATAGCTCGAAAAGCTATTATGCTTGTGTTGGAGAAAGCACTCATGCTTACCAGAGCCCTTCAAAAGATCTAACGGACATTAATAACCGCTTGAATGGGTAATTCTTTTCTTCATGATACAGTTTTAAAATTATACGCCGTATATCTTTCTATCATTGTACACTAATGATGCCTTTGTTTGGTTCAGCACCCGAAAGATCAGAGGCACACTAAACTTTGACGAGGATGTTGGGTTAGTTAGTGATTCTATGGTGGCCAACAGCCTCTACATTCAAAATGGGAGTTGTGCGTCGTCATCAGGTGCACTGTTGAAATCCGAGCAACCTGATTCATAAATTAGTGTTCGCATACTGACATGTTTGTATATTCGAGTCTCTTGATTCATCCTATAATTAATTTATACTTGAGTTTGATGACATGGGTATTGCATGAGCGGTGAGTTGTTGTAGAATAGCCGCCATCATTCCCACTTTGCTTATCAATCTTGTATGAACTCAAAGAAACGAAGTTTCCTCTAATTAGTCCAATAAAATTTGGCTTTTGTGGCTGGTTGTAGCTGAATCTGTTGTTGATGTTTCTTTTGCTACAGTTGCACAAATTTTTCTTGGCATACAGAGCAGAGAGATTTTCTTTTCTAAAATTTTCTCACAACTTTGCATTAAGTAAAATATTTTTGGTTGAGGACTTTAATCTTTTTTGAGAACATAATTTAGAGTATCTTCAATTGTGTTATTTATTTTAAAAAACAGTATTTTCATTCATTTTTAAATATAAAAAACAAAATTTTTATTCATTGATTTTAAAAATAAAAAACAAAATTTTTATTTAAATTTTCAAAAAAGAGATTTTAATAAGAGAGAAAATTAATAAATAAAATACATAAAAATTTGTAATTTATTAATTAAAATTAAGATAAAGAGTGAATTTATATTTAAAGAATAAAAAGTCTATTGAATTTTTGTTTTTATAAATAAACTCTTTATAATAAAAAGTTTGGATTATATAAAAAGTCATTTAGATATGTTCTTACAATTTTCAAGTCTTTTACTTAGGATTTTAATTAGTAATTAGGGAAGTTTCAGATTTTTTATTTGTTATTCCAATTTCAACTATTTGATCACCTGAATATTGGATTACACTTAAATCGAAAACCTTAAAGATTTAAGGTCTACAAAATGGCCGAATCTTTCCTCCAATTTGCATATTTTATTTTCATATGAATTTTGGATTGTAATCAAAATTTAATATATACCCCAAGTGATGTAAGCATTTATATTAATATTAATATTAATATTATATATAAACTTGCATTAATTCTCAACCATCCTAACACAACAAACTTGAATGAAACAAACTTAGTAAAGGTGTTCGTACACATCTTATTATCCCCTTATAAGAAATAGTCATCCCAATATTATTATTATTATCACCCAAAAAGTTGTGAAGAATTTATTAGCACCCCAAAAATTCACAATGATTGATAATAATTGTTATTGTCCCTTAAATATAAATTGTCAATGAATTTGTAGCGAGCAACCGTAAATTTCGCTTATTAATGGCTGGGGGTATGTAAATTTTGCTTATTAATGAATAAGTTTATCCTTACAAAGAAGCCTACAAAAAAGCTTACAAAGAAAAAACAGAAAAGAGAAGAAGAGAGAGAGAGGAATGATGAAGATGAAGGGTGGAGGTTAACTTTGTATGCCTCCTTTATAAGCTTCTTTGTAAGACTAACACTGCTGAATTTTAATTTCGAAATAGCATTTATGCCTTTAAAAATTTATGTTTTGTTTCTAATGATAATGTAAAGGTAATAATAATACATGTTTTATAAATGGTTAAACACTTGTATTTAACTTAACAATAACTAGGGACACCGAAAAACTTGCACCGAAATTCTGTACCGGTCTATGTGTAACGTGCGTCTGAATTTTTTTACAATTTTTTCTAGTGAACGGCCGTCCATCAAATTTGAACGGCCGTTCACTCACATGGACGGGCGTCCATATACAAGGGATGGGCGTCCCCATTTAAAGGACGTCCGTCCATAATAAAATACAATAAAAAAATTTGTAAAATATTATGGACGGCCTTCATAGGTGTTGTGGACGGCCGTCCCTTAATTTTGGACGGTCGTCCGCAAATGCAGGAAGCCCGTTCAAACTTAATTTGTTTTAAAAAATAAAATAAAAATTTGGACGCCCGTCCATAAATTGTGGACGGGCATCCCTTAAGTTTGGACGCGTCCATTCCTAATGGACGCTCGTCCATACTTTAAAAAAAAAAAAAAATTCTAAATACCTTTCTTCTTCGTCTTCTTCTTCGTCTTCATTCACTGTGTTTTTTTCATATTTATCGCACCTTCTTCACTGCCTCCATGGAAACTTTATTGCATAGTCGTTATTTTCAGGTAGTTTTTGATAAGAAACTATCCAAGATTACACAAATGGTCTTCCAATTTAATATCTAATGGACTCACATAAAAGGCATCCTGCATGGGCCCCACCACGTATTCTAGATATGTCCTTTGTGACTATATCCCTTCCAGCAGGAGCCAATACTTCATTGAAAAACATTTTGAATTGGTGTTCTCTGCTAGAGAGGAAATCGCTTATATATTAGGATTTAAACAAAATACAATACACAACGAAGGCAACTCCACAGTTGAATCAAGCTACAACAAGAAATAAAACACACACTTAAGCACCAATTATTCTAAACAATATACATATAAAGATACAGCCCCAAGAGTTTCCAACCGTAAATGTTTCTCGTCACATGAGCTGCAGCAGAGCAAAGATTGAGTAGTCCTGGTGACACAGATGCATCAGCTTTACTAATAAATTTTACTCCCTCTCTCCCATATGCGTTCAGCAATTTAAAAGATTCAGTTCAGAACTCAATCAATATTTTTAAGAAAAACCTTGAAACATCAGTTTCACTCAGCTCAGCTCCCCTCTTTGTAACAAACTCAATGACAGCTTGAATAGCCCCTTCCGCAGACTGCTTAATCCTATCGCTATAGCTGTGGACAATTATGCAAGGTGCCTACAAGCTTCAAGAATCAACCAAGTAACTTAAGCTGCCAGTGTCTTAAAAGAAATTGTAAAATATATCTACGAAAAACCATACCTCGTCCTTTGTCAATAGAGTACAGGCAGAGGAAACAATTCTGTTGAAAACCTCCGATGGATCAATAGAAGCATCCTGAATATACAGAAGGGGAACAAAAAATTACAGGGTAAACCGCAGATATAAACAGACATGAATTATGCAGTAATAAAAACTTACACTTCTCAAGATGGCTATAACATCCTCAAGGGAGGACAAAGCGTTGTAGGACAATTCTATATCCACACCAGAATTTGAACCAACAGGCCTTGGAAGTGAAAGAGAGATGCTAAAGAGTTGATCAAGAATCTACCAAAATAAAAATTGAGGGACAATAAATTTCTGAGTAAAATATTTGGAGAGCTACTAAACTTTATGTAAAACTTGCAAGTATTCAACCATAGGAGGAACTACCAACTACCTATAAAATTCATACCTGAGCAGAAGTTTTCTAACTTCAGAATTAGTGGAGAAGAAATCACAAGACACTGAAGGTGAAAGTCACCGGAAACCCCGTCAAGCCCGGCAAGATAATAGGAAGAAGAGAATGCCAATTGATCACCTTCGATCTTCATATCTAGCTTTTTACTACAACCACAAGCTGCTTCTTTATAAGGTAACGAAGAGTTCGAATCCATGGTTGAGAAACTCAAGGACGGGTTGAAGGTTGTTCTGGAAGAGTTTCATCAGCTGGCTGGGAAACTTAGGAAAGATGAAGAGGGAGTTTTTAGAGTGGAGTATGACGATGAAATGGAGGGCGTTGAACTGAGTGAAGCGTGGCTGAAGAGATCAGAGTGAAAATGTCAAGAAAATTCCAGTTTCTTGAGTTTTAAATTTGCTGTTTACACAAGGGACGGTCGTCCCTTAAGTGTGGACTGCCGTCCATACATAATGGACGGGCGTCCATTAGTTATGGACACCCGTCCAAACTTAAGGGACGCCCGTCCATAAATTTATGGACGGGCGTCCAAATTTTTTATTTTATTTTTTAAAACCAATTAAGTTTGGACGAGCGTCCCGTATTTGCGAACAATCGTCCAAAATTAAGGGACGACCGTCCACAACCTATGAACGGCCGTCCATAATATTTTACAAATTTTTTTATTGTATTTTATTTATGGACGGATGTCGTTTAAATAGGGATGCCCGTCCCTTGTATATGGACGCTCGTCCATATAATATGGACGGGCGTCCATGTGAGTGAACGACCGTCCAAATTTGATAGACAGCCGTTCACTAGAAAAAAATTATAAAAAAATTCAGACGCCCGTTACACGTAGACCGGTATAGAATTTCGGTGCAAGTTTTTCGGTGTCCCTAGTGTTATTGTTAACTTAAGGAAAATGATAGAGTTACCGAAAAGTTTACACCGAATTTGTGCACCGAATGACGTGACAAAATCCTAACCGTTGATTAATATTAACTGATAATAAATCAACGGTCAGGATTTTGCCACGTCATTCGATGCACATCTGTCAATAACTGTAGCATTACTCGTTAACTTAATTCATTAAGAAAGAGAAGTAAAAGAAACTTCAAACACAAATAATGTTATTTAATAGAGTAAAATTTCTTTCTTTTTGGGTATATTGAAAAGCTCACGTTGTAAACAGAGGAAAGGAATCTGGCAAAGATTTTAACAATAACACCTCTAAAATGCCCAAATTATATTTAAAACAAAATTCCTGAATTAAGGATCAATTCTCGCCTCGACCAGCTTAATCTTGGAAAACAATTTATTTGAGATATTTTATAACTTAGTAGTTAAACCATCTAATTTTTTCATAACTAACAAACAGATGAACACAGTAAGGGCAGCCAACTAATCATATTTTTAATTCATACAGATGCTCAACAAAAACCACCACACAAAAGTCAAATAAAGATTTCTAGAGTATTGATCTCTTTAACTCAAAACTCCACAATAATCTAAGTGCCCAACAAAATACAAAACCTTAAGAGAAAATTGGTGATTAAATAACCACTGAATTCTAATCAAAGAGTGAGAATCCCATGTCATCATCGCTCTCCTCCTTCTCTTCCTTCTTCTCCTCAGCAGGAGGAGCCTCAGCAGCAGCACCGCCTGCAGGGGCTGCGGCAGCAGCTCCACCACCTCCAATGAAAGCTCCACCACCAACAGCACCAACAACTACCTGTACCCAACCGAATTTATTTTACAGCAAAAACAAGAAGCAACAAGCAGAAATAAAAGGCATAATGGCAAGTTTGTAACCAGTATACAGATAAAAACAGAGTGCCCTTTAAAAAAACACAAAATAATTTAACAAAAAAGGGGAAAGCTAGCAACTGTCACCTCCTCATGTACGAGAAAACCTTCCCTACAACAGATGTTTCCAAACATCCAAGCATGAGGCAAGTGTATCTCACTCAAGTGACATGCCACTCCATCATTCGATGGTCGTACCAAAATCTGTTATATGGGAGATTTTTTCCTTGTGCACACGTCATGTTCTCATAATTCTTTTTACAAGTTATATTCCCATAAATAAAGACATAGCTTTGTCCCTTTCAATCATTCATCTTCATCATCAAGTTAATAAATCATCTAGCCGTGTTAGTTTCTTTGATTTGAACAGCCACACAAAACTTTGGCAATATACCCTTGGTAATCTAGATATCAGAATTTTATTTCTCAACTTGAAGGTTCTGGTCTCACAAAGGACAAAACAAGAAGCAAAACAAAATCATATCAGCTTAATTTGAAATGCAAACATGGAAATATGTGACTGCTTAAATCAACAACACTAGACTTCTCATTTTAAAAACAAACCAAAATACAAATCAAAATTTATTGCTCAAGTAAATCACAATTATTTGACTCAAAAACAAATCAACATCTTAACAAAACACAGGGAAATGATGTATAAAAATTCACAACCCATAAAACCATATCATATATAATATCAAAAATTATTATCTTTGGTAAATCAACCAAACCTAGTGAATCCAAAAACAACTAATCATTCGAAGAAATAAATCTATGATCACTTAATCAATATAGTCTCCTCTTTCTTTCAATGTTTTCTGTCTAACATCAAATCCAACCGGGTCAATGGTTAAGGCCTTTTACCACAGGCACAGTGGCTTTCACTACAGAATTACCAGCTTAATGTCTAAAGAAATAAAAACTATTGACTATTAAATCAATAAAATGTCTTCTTCCATCATAAAATTCAAACAATGTTTGATCCAAAAGAGGGGCCTTTGTTCCCCGAAAGTAGCAGGATTTTAGAAAAATTACAAAAATAGATTTAAAAAAAAAAAAAAGTGAAGCGAGTTAAGACCTGGAAAACGGCAGAAGTGGGAGTGACGAAAGAGAAAGAGGACTGAACTCCACCGGATGAATCAGCAGCGAGAGAAGTTTGGACCAACTTTCTCTGCAACTCATAAGTGGACCCAGCCGAGGCCTCTAAGTCACCGGAAACCTGCTTCCCGGACCACTCGCCGCCGTTGTTTCTGCAGACAAAAGTGAAGACTCCCATGGCCGCTGCTTGATTTGATTCTTCAAATGTACAGAGCTCAGCCTTTAGTTAAGAGAGGAACGGCTCGTCTGTAGGAGGCGATTATTTATATATTTGATGGCTGCGGAACCCTAGTAAGGGTTTTGAGCAAGAGGGCAAATAGGGAAATACGAAATTGTCCCTTGTGAACAGGGTCATATTTAAAGGAGTAATGTTATAGTTATCGAAGGGTGTATACTGAATTTCTGCATCAAATAACGTGATAAAATCTTAACCGTTGATTCATTACAAGTTAATATTAATCAATGGTTAAGATTTTGCTACGTCATTCGGTGTATAACTTTTGATAACTCTATCATTTTCCTATTTAAAGATACCCCAAATGTATGAAAAGAGCTACCCTCATTCCAAAATTTATTGCAAACTTCCCCTTCACTATATTTTTTTTTTAATAATTAGAAGGAATTGACCGGGGTTAAATGTGTAAAATCATAGATAATATAGTTAAAAAATACTAGGTTAAATGTGAGAACATTTTATGAAATATTTAATTTTTCTAAAATGTTATCAATCTATATATTTATATAATCCTAAGCATGGCCTACTTGATTGACATGTAGGAGTTTTAAAGTTTTAAAATTGTTGGATTTTGACATGTTGGAAGATTGTTCGACACATGGCTGCATGTAATTGGTGATAATATGAGATATGTACATTTGGTTGCATATAATTGGTGATGATGTGAGATATGTTGATGTGTAAGATTTTTGGTTACGAATAATGTTATGTGCACTAACCAAAACCATACTAACCCAAGTACTAATTGACGTGGCAAATCTCTCTTATTGCCACGTTAGTTCCCCCCAAAAACTAAAAAAAAAAAAAAAATTTCAAAATTTCAATTGTTAGTATTTGGATTAGTACAATTTGATTAGTGCACATAGCATTATTCTTAGGGTTGTGGCTTAAGCTCCACCCAAACCTAAACCCAGAATTATTTTAGGCGACTTTATTCCATTGATTTTTTTTTTCTTGCTTGCGTCACATTTAATTTTTATAAGGGTAAATCAGTCATTTAGTTGAAGAGAAAGACTTAAAGTCTTAAAAAATGCTAGTATTAAATGACTTTGACTAGACACGAATAAGGAACAATTGTTCCTCATGAAAAAATTATCGCCCCTCTCTAAAGAACGATCATTCATTCCTTATGGAATGGTCATACCTTATCAAGGTATAGTTATTTCATAAGGAGTGAATGGTCATTCCCTAGAGAGAAACAATCAGGGGCAGACCCACATGGGGTCACGTGAGGTTAAGTGACCCCACTTGGATTTTTTTAAATATTTTCATTTTGCCCCCATAAAAAAACTAAATTACAAATTTTAGTAAATTAAATTAATTAAAAAATTTGACTTTCTTTAATAATATTTTTTCCCCAATCCTAACTTTTTCTCTTGTCCAACGTGCCCCACTCTATCTCTCAATCCCTATTTTTCTCTAATAATATATTGAAATTTATGCAATCATTTAATTTTGTGTTTAGCCTATTTATGATGAAAGATTTACTTAGCTTTACAAATGAACTTTCTCAAGCACTACAAAGAAAAGATCAAGATATTATAAATGTTATGAATTTGGTTGAAGTGTATAAGCAAGCTTTACAATTGATGAGGGACAGTGGATAGGAGAATTTACTTAACAAAGTTTGTTCTTTTTGTGCCAAACATGAAATTGATATTTTAAATATGGATGTCAAAAATTTTATTCAAGGGCGATTACAATGGAAGACTAAAGGTATCACAAACGTGCATCATTACCGTATTGAAGCA